TCAGCGCATCAGACTGTCCACACCTTCTTGAGGAACGCCAGTTGAAGATTCTGGAATGCCATGCGGATGAACTTCAGCACCCGCGTCAGTCCCAGCTCATCCTTCCCAGTTTACCACTTTGTTCTAACAGGAGATGGGAATACAAGAAGTTTGATGGCTTTGCCCTGGGCTGGGAATACCTCACCCACGCCCAGTTCCAGAAAGGCCTCCAGCTGAGCAGACGGCCCCGATCCCGCCAGAACGGCCTTTTGCTTCCAGCCAAAGAACACCGCCAACACACACACCTCCAACCTGGGACATCCACGCTGGGCCTCGGACGGAGGGACCCGCAGAATGTGGATTCTGAGGGTGGTTGGGAGGCCTCGGTAGCCGCGCAGAACAGGGTATCTGCCCAAGCGTGTCTGACGTGGGGTGGGGCTGGCATCATCCCAGGGAGGTTCTAGGGGGGGCCCCGCCTTCTGGGGGCGGGGGTGGCTTCATCGTCCCTGGTTTCCTGGAGCTCGCGTCCTTTGACAGCGTGTGCTGGTCCCATCTCAGACCAGCTCACTGAGGCAGAGGAGTTGCTCAGAGGCTCACACGGGCACTCCCATCGGTTCGTGTGAGCAGCCGCCCAGCCCCAGGCCTGCGCTCAGCCTGGTCCAGCATGAAGGCGTTTCCATCTGCAAGGATGCACGGTCCCCTCCCCAACTGGGAATCAGCTGGAAGCTGGGTCTCTTCGTGGCTGGTTTTGTTTGAAGTTCCCAGGAATGTTTCAGGTTTTCCAGCGATGTGTTTAGGGATCTCTGGGGGGGAAAAGGAAGAGGAGGGGCTTGTTCGCCCATCTGTTTATTCTTTGGGCTCTGGGAACAGGGGACTACTTTGGGGCTTTCTCCAGACTTTTGTATGTTATTATTAAAAGCGAGCTATTGCATTTCATTCTGCCTCATTTGCCCACCTGTGAAATGGGGCTTACACCACCTACCTCACTGAAGTCTCCAGGGTTCAAGTGTGTGGCTGGGTCAGGGCACGGTCACCCATCATACTGCCTAGGTCGGGTCGGATGTTAGACTCCTGGGATGCCTACCTCCCCCTCACCCTTTGTAATAACCTAGTCCGAGACCGTGCTTGATGGGGGATTTGAACCTTCTCTCTCCTCTAGCAGTGTCCGCTCAGGCCTGACGGCTCAGCTCTGCACGATTTCATGTTCCAAACCCATGTCTTAGGGCAGCACAGAGCCAGGTCATGTCGTGCCCCAAAGTGTGGGGAGAGAGCCTCAGCGAGCCCCGAGCGTGGCCCAGCCTTCTGGCCCAGCCCCATTTGAGTGCTCTCAGGGGATGCCAAATGCTGTTTCCAAGTTTGTGTCCGTGTGGCTAAAATCCACCTATTTCTTCAGGAACTCTTCCCCTGGTTGTTCTGGGGACCTTGGGAGGAACACAGCCCTGACAGCTCGTCCGTGGGAAGATGAGGCAGTCCAGGTCATGAGCAGCACAGCGGCCCGCCCTCTCTTCTCAGAGGTGAGGGGCGTGAGAAGGTTCTCTCCCCTAGGCCAGCATTTGGCCGAGCTTGGAGGCTTGCCTGGATGGCTCGGGGCGAGCTGGGCTCCTCGTCTGTCAGATGGTGAAAGTGCTGCCCGCCTCACAGGTGACCATGAGGACCAGTCACAGTGATGTGTGAGAGGGCTCGCTGGTCACAGAAACGTGTGCACATCATGCTGGTTTAGAGACCAGCCCTCAATGTGTAAGGCATGTGAACAGAGCACACGGTGGACTGGTGGTTTCATAGCCAACACATAGCATCTACTCCGTGCGGCCGCTGGTCCGACCCCATCTTACAGACGAGGAAACCAGCACACAGGCACTAGGGGACTGCCTGGAACAAACAGCAGGGGCCAGCGACGGGAGTCAAACCCAGGCATGTGGCCCGGCCTGCACGCTGAGCCACACGGTGCTGCCCGGACAGATGGACAGACACTTGGTGGAGTCTGCCTTTCTCGGTCCCTAAAACCCTCTCCAAAGGGTACTTGCGATGCCGGATTTAAACCTTGCTCAGGGCCACTTAGCCACTTGAGAACTAGGCAGGAAGGTATTACTCCCAGGTTTGTCTTTCCAAAGTAACAAATGACATGTGGAATAAAGTAACAGAGTAACAAGTGGCAGGGCCAGAACCAGCGCCCCCAAAGTCCGGGTGTGGGCACATTTGTATTTCTTGTACGGCCATCTTTAATTTTTCTGGGAACATAACCTGCCTCTTGTGTAATGCAGGGAAGACTCATGCATGGTGACACCTAGGTGTCCTCAACAGCACACTTGATCCCAAAACCCCTTTAACACATTAGGTTTCCTCAACAGAAAACTGTGCTTTAATCCCAAACTCCCTTTAAGACATATTGGGGCCGGGCGCCGTGGCTCACGCCTGTAATCCCAGCACTTTGGGAGGCCAAGGCAGACAGATCACGAGGTCAGGAGTTCAAGACCAGCCTGGCCAATATGGTGAAACCCTGTCTCTATTAAAAATAGAAAAATTAGCTAGGCGTGGTGGGCACGTGCCTGTAATCCCAGCTACCCGGGAGGCTGAGGCAAGAGAATCACTTGAACCCGATAGGTGGAGGTTGCAGTGAGCCGAGCTCATGCCATTACACTCCAGCCTGGGAAACAACAGACTCCATCTCAAAAAAAAAAAAAAAAAAAAAAAAGACATATTGATCTTTAATGGCAAACTCCCTTTAAGGCCTGTTGGTCTGAAAGAGGATTTGGGATTGAAGCACAGTTTTCTGTTGAGGAAACCTAGGTGTCACTTTTTAGAACATGAAGAAGAAAGTTGTGGGATGGGCTTTTCCATTTAAAGGAATGTGATGATCCCAGGTTCTGATGGGTGATGATGGTCTCCGTTTATACCCTTTCTTCTTTCAGCAGCTGTAAGTTCAGGTAGTGGCCGTCTTACATTTTGACGTCCTACGGGAGGTGCCTAGTTGCCTGCAAAGACAACTAAGGCTCATTATTTCAAAAGAAGATTATTGAAAACACGAGTGACAGGTAGTCAGAAGAGAACAAAAGGATGCAAGATACTCTCTAGCCAAGTCAGCTTGGAGGCAGGATGGGTTGCTGAGTGGGGTCGCCGCTCACGTCTGGATTCTTACGGACTGTGAGTTAGTGCTTCCCTCTACATGGAGCCATGGGAAGGGTCTAAAGGCACGTTCCTGAGGTGCCCTCCCTCAGAGTCTACCCGCACTCAAACCACGGCCTGTGTCTGCTGTTTTCATCATAAACAGACTAGTCTGAGGTGCCCTCCCTCAAAGAGTCTACCCGCACTCAAACCAGGGCCTGTTTTTGCTGTTTTAATCACAAACAGACTAGTTAGTAGAAGACTTTTGAAGAACAAAGTAAAACTTTTTTGTCATTAAAAGACGTGCCGGAGGAAAGGCCCTGTGCAGCCAGTATATTCTAATGACTGCCTTGACCACGTCCTAATATGCTGGTTTTAAGTTGTTGGCCAAAATCCTCTAAAGACATATGAAACATCTGCCAACTTTTTAGTGAACTTAATAGGTTTCACTGACATTTTTCTCAATTTTTGAATCTGGGTGGGATCTGCTTTCATGTCCTGTTTCAAAAACCAAGTCTCTCTTGACAGCCCATTGGTTCTTCCTGTCCTCTTGCTCTAGTCTGTATCAAAAAGCAGAATGACTGTACTTCTGTTTTAAAAATAACCACCTGATAGGATGGACACTACAAGCTAAGGAAACGCACGTGCCCTTGAGCTTGAAGGAAGCGGCCTCTGGAGTGGCAGCCACTGCCCTTTGAGGGAGAGCAGCTCTTCAGCAGGTGGGCCCTGGGAGCCGGGTGATGGACACCTGCTGGGGCTCTCCTTTTCTCTTTTTCACTGGCTGCTTGATCCTCAGTGGCAACGCTCCTTGGGACATGGAGTGGCCTCGGGGCTGGTTCAGAGCTCCCGCAGGGGGAGGAGTCTCAGAAGTGGAGGCAGCTGCCGATGGGCGAGTTTGCAACTTCTTATGTCTAAGGCAAGTAGGCATTTTTATTCCGTCTCCAGTCCTTGAGCTCAGCAGATCAAAATCACAGTGACCCCGCAACCCTACAGAGCCCAGGGCACGCTCGCTGTCGTCTGCCCTGCCGTGCCCCTTTAGTCCCCGCTCTGTGGAAGACCAGGCAGTTTAGGTGTACATAGGTATCTTTTATGGTTTCCAAATGAATTATTTGTGTGAGTAATTAAATCTGTAAGAAAACTGACTCTGAATTATGATTTCTACAAAATGTATTTTAGCAAAAACACCACGATACCTGCACTGGACAGCTCGGTATGCTAATTGCCAGTGCTAGTTTCATAAGCATTCCCAACAGCTGCTTTATTAACCGTCTTCCACGTCCAGTAGCGATCATTTCTAGGCGGTATTGGTTGGTTGGCTGTTAGCTTTGCTTTATGATTTCATGTTTCTTTTAAAAGTTGTTTTGCATGTTGAATATTAAATTTGTCTTTTCTGTGTCTTCCTCTAATCTTTTTTTCTGTCATGGGCATTTCAGGGTAAATACAGATATAGCAAAGCGATCATGATTGAACCTTAATTTGCCCCCAATGATTCCTTAAACTTTTTTTGGAGCTTTCACACAAGCTGCTTTTTTGAACTGGAGTGTGCTGGAGGCAGAGAGAAATCACCCTGTGTGCTGGCTTTGCCTGTCATGAGCCAGTGAGGAGTCCGAGAAGTGGTGGGCAGGTCAGTGACTGGGGTTTGGCCAGAGATGCCATATTTGCAGAATTAAATCATTTCAAGATAAATTTCAAGGCCTGGCACAGTGGCTCACGCCTGTAATCCCAGCACTTTGGGAGGCCGAGGCAGGCAGATCACTTGAGGTCAGGAGTTCGAGACCAGCCTGGCCAACATGGTGAAACCCCGTCTCTACTAAAAATACAAAAATTTACCGGGCGTGGTGATGTGCACCTGTAGTCCCAGCTACTCAGGAGGCTGAGGCGGGAGAATCGCTTGAACCTGGGAGGCGGAGGTTGCAGTGAGCCGAGCTCACACCACTGCACTCCAGCCTAGGTGACAGAGACTCCATCTCAAAAAAACAAAAAAAATGCATTTCAAGTTTAGCGTTCAGCCTCCACAAGGTAGTGCATACCCTTTCAGTTGTACTGTAAAATTTCCCAAGCTTTTTCAGAGAACCTCTTAACCCTCACAGAAGTGGGAAAACAATGGAACAGAGGCCAGGAGTCCCAAGTTCAGGTTTTGCAGGCTCCAGGTAAGCTGCCTGGTCTAACGGAAGATGAGGCGTTCGCACCAGGCGGCTCTGCTGCAGCTCAGCGGGCGAGGGGACCTCGAGCAGGTTCTCGCGTTTTCTGGCGGATCCTTCCGAGCCTGCTACTGCAAGGCCCTCGTAGGTGGAAGCAGGCTCGTTGTCGCCTTTCACACCACGAGCTTTTCCTTTCCATGGTCAGATGGACTGAGGAAGTTACCAGCGATGGGTGTAAGGCCCAAGACACCGCAGAAAGTTACAGAATGGAAAATGAGGGGCAGAGAGAAAAGAGGGTCTGAGAGGAATGCAAGCATTCTGGAACATAGTAAGGGACACCCCACCAGTGACACTTCTTGGGAACAGTCACTGCCTTAGAAACACCAGACCAGGAGAATTTTCTGACCAGCACCTCAAAGGCAGCCCATGAAGATGGCGGTTAGGAAGGAGACGGTCTAGCAGGTGAGGACCTCCTTGTCATCCAGGTCAACCCCCTTCTCGTTGAACAGTGGGAAGTCCTTTTAAAGCAGTCACCTGAAAAATGTTTAATAGATATTTGGGGAGAGTCTGTATCTTGGAAGCTGCCTGCAGAAACTTCATTCCTATTCATTGCCTCCTCTGGAAGGCTAATTTTGCTGTTTCAGTTCCTTTATCCTTAGATGAGCTTTTAGGAACTACTGTCATGCCCTAGCTTAGAAGGAAAAAAGTTAACTGGAAAGGAAAACCTTTGGGAATCATACTGGGAGGAGAGGGGAATGTAACTCAATCCGTACAATAACACAGTTCATTGTAAATAGACATGTTGACTGTGGTAACATGCTGTACTTTGTGCCTGATTGTTAAAATGACGAGAATAGCTGGAAAATTTACATGAGGAAGGAAAATACTTGTTTCTGGGGATGAAGGATCATGTTCTTTTCTTTCCTTGCAGCATCACCAAATTGCCCCCGACCTAGCCTCTCCATCAGCCACCAGGTTAACGAGATTTCTTTCCTCCGTGTGGACCGGGGTCTTTCCTCTTGGAGTCTGACTTTAATAAAACAATTAGGTTGTTCCTTTTGAAATAACCATGGCTTTTAGCCGAATTTTATGCTACTCTGAATAAACAATTTTGCTCAAAAGATTTTAGCCAATTCCAGAAGTCAGTGCAGTTGAGTAATTTAGTGGGCACGTACATCTGCTTAACATGGCACGCGGGGAGAGGAGTGTGGGGCTGGGACCTCAAGCTGCAGCACCTCAGACACACTCAACCCTGGGCCTGGGTTTCCTCAAGTAGAATCACCACTTTCCTTCCAGGGATGCGACAATGTTGAAGTGAGACAAGGTACGTCCAAAGGCTGGCGTAGTTCCTGGCAATGCTGATAACTACTGCCATGTCTTCCCGGCGTGCCCAAGGGGTATTTCATGGGCCATCTTTAGAGTCATCAGGAGTGCATGTGTGCCAGCGGTTCCCAAATGTGAACGTGCATCAGGATCACCTAATGCATGCTCTAACCCAACGTTCAAACCCAGAAGACTGGTAAGGAAAGTACTTTGGAATCAGTGATGACGGCTGCACAACTCTGTGAGTATGCTGAAAGCCACTGAATCGTATACTTTAAAGGGGTGCAGTTTATATGAATTCTATCTCAATTTTTAAAAATGGGCTCCAGCCTGAGGTGCTGATTCAGTAGCCTAGTTGGGGCCCATGGGTTTGCCTTTTTCTGGGGCGGGCGGGGGAACGGGCAGAGTCTTGTCCTGTCACTCAGACTGGAGTAGAGTGGTGCGACCACAGCTTACTACAGCCTGGACCTCCTGGGCTTAAGCGATTCCTTCCACTACCACGCCCAGCTAATTAAAAAAAAAAAATTTTTTTTTTTTTTTTTTAGAGACAGGGTCTTGCTGTGTTGCCTAGGCTGGTCTCTAACTCCTGGGCTCAAGCAAGCTTCCCACCTCAGCCTCCCAAAGTGCTGCAATTACAGGCATGAGCTACCTTGCCCAGACGGGTTTGCTTTTTTTTTTTTTTTGAGAGATAGGGTCTTGCTTTGTCACCCAGGCTGGAGTGCAGTGGCATGATCACTGCTCGCTCCCTGGAGCCTCCACCTCCTGGGATCAAGCCATCCTCCCACCTCAGCCACCCACGTAGCTGGGACAACAGGTGCGTGCCATCGTACCTGGTTACATTTTGTATTCTTTGTAGAGCCAGGGTTTTGCTATGTTGCATGTTGGGGACCAGCCTCAGCACCACCCACAGGGTACCCGAAGTCTGTTGGCGACAAAGGATTGAGAAGAGACAGGCTAAGAGTAAAGGTGGAGCCAGGGGGCCAGCTGCAAAATGTGGAGGCTGCAAAAGGCTCAGAGCTCTGGTCTCTACAGTATTTATTGAGTACAATTACAGAAGCAGATGTTGAGGGCGGGACAGTGAAAGGGTGCAGTGCGTCACAGGCGTAATCTACAGCAATAGCGGTTTCAATGAATCTCCTTTGTGCTCAAACAGCGTATCTTTAACTTATCGGAGAGTAGCTAGTGGGAGCGGCTTACTAGGAGCCTGCATGTCTGTCGACATTCCAGTGCTTCAAAGGAGTGTCTTTCTCCTTGAACACAGCGTTTACAGATAGGAGAGCGGGTCTCGCTCTGAGCATGGGAACATGATGGCAAATAGGCTTTCCTCCTCACAGGCCTCTTGTGACTTTCCACAACTTAATGTCCCGTATTTTTATGGTCAGTTTATACAGGCACCCACAAGCCCTTTTCCCGACAGTTGCACAGGCTGATCTTGAACTCCTGGGCTCAAGCGATCCACCCACCTCGGCCTCCCAAAGTGTTAGGATTACAGGCGTGAGCCACCGCGCCTGGCCAGGCTTGCATTTCTATCAAGTTCCTATGTGGCAGTCCCAAGACCACTTTGAGAACCCAGGTTCTAGCCCAGCCATGCAGCTGAGTATCTATACAGGGCTTCTGCGGTTTAGGTACCATCTTCCTCTTGAGATAACATTCTCTTAGTGTCATTTAGTTTCTATTAGATGTTAACAGTTCAGGAAAATACTTTGATGAATAACCAGTCTTTGCAGTACTATTTTTTTAAACCAGAAAATACCCCTTATAAACCAAATAAATGCTGAGGAACGTAGGAAAGGTTAAAAATATGTCTCAAAGGTTTGTTCTGAGGACTAACCAAGGTAATACATATAAAGCAGCTAGCCAATGCTTTGCACACTAGCCCATTAGGGATCAATTGTTCCCATTCCAATCTGTTAAGATTTTAATCCAACAGGAACCCTTGGTCTGAATGGTTTAAAAGTAGTCTCAACCCCCAGCCAGGAGTCTGATAATAAATTGGTCTCTCACTCACCTCCAAGCCGACCCTCCTGTTGTTCAAGAACTTTCTGGTTGCAGCTTCTGCGTGATTCTTTTCCTCAGGTCTGACTTGTATTAATGCCAAGTGCATCACAGAGGAACATAAGACTGCCATACACTGGGATTTTGTTTACTTTTCATTTATTCACATTTCATGGATTGTTACACTTCTTCGATGGGAGCATTCAAAACTAACAAGCTGAGATTATATTGTCTGACAATTCAAGTATTTTAGTTTTAGAAAACAATTTCCTATTTAAAGTAAAAAGCAAACAATGTATCCATCTGATTGCTAAGAAGTTTACATCTCCATTACAATTGTGTCTGCATCAAACGGAGAGTCCTTCGTCCTCAGGATGATTGTTACTGGCTGAGAACATACAGTGGCCTGTGTTGCGAATGCCTGATTGGAAAAGACCTCCCCATCATCTACCATGCTACGGGGCAAACCAGTACCTACTCAAATTCCCACTTCCAGAATGAGGACTCATCAGCGGCTTAGGAGTTTGCAAAGCCTTCAAAATACATCGTGCTGGAATTTGAACTCTTCTGAAACACAGTAACTGACAAATGCTCAAAAAACAAACTTGTTTAACTTTTACTGAAAAGGCTCTCAGTGGAAACTTGTTTTGAACTCTACTAGTAAGGGAGAATATTAGTTTTTCTTCCCCTCTACACCAGAAAAGGTAGTTTTCTCTCTCCTTTTTTTTTTTTTTTTTTGGCATGCAGCATATACAAAATTGTAATCTAGAATTGAAATTGTAAAATATAATAATCCTCTTAAAGAAAATCAGTCCATGAACGGTCAGACTTGTCCTTCCATGGAAAACATAATCTAAACTTCTTTAAAAACTGGACATATTTTAAGTCTGTAATTCGAATAATGATGGCATAACAAATTTTTTGCTTACTAGGAATGCGCAAAAGGATGAGATGGATACACAGGTTTTAAAAAAAAAGGCCACTGGGATACTTAGTATTTGCCAAGATGCAAAACAATTTTAGAATAACAAAATACACACCTTGCTTTAGGCCACGTATATGATACACTTCATAGATTCTCAAAAGATGAAAATTTCAGTCCACATTAAACATTTTAAAGCATAATTGCTAATATTTTGTTAAAAATAACTCAAACTAGACGCATAAATCAGAATTACCTGTTAACATAGTGGGGAAAACACGTAAGCCCTCCGGGGGCCCCGTGCCCCAAATAAAAGACAAGGAGTTACATTTCACAGTCAAATCCACATATACTCGGGCTCTTTACACCAATAAAGTGGAGACCAACCAGTTCCTAAAGCATACAAGAGTGATTTTAAGAAAATCCCCCATTCTAAGTTTTATGGTAGACGTGTCACATTTTCCCTGTAATTTTCACTTTAACAGTGATAGTCTTAGCAGCAAAAATTTGCTGGGAATGTTAGGAAAAATGAAAGCCACACATACCCACTAATTTAAAAATATATAAACTATTTTTTACAGAAGGGGCAGGTTTAAAAGATAATCCAATCATGATCTTTTCATGCCATTTTTTGTAGACTTTCCATACACGCGCAGACGCTAACAAAGTACTGTGTCATATACACTTAAGTGTCCGAAAGATGCCTGCGAGCTTGATTCCAGCTGGTACCAGGGAAGCACATGTGGCTAAGTTGCAACAAACTTAAATTTGTTCCCCTTAGTTCTTCATCTTTTTAAAAGTTGAATAAACCTAATGTCAATCGGGCAGGGCCGGTATTAACAGCATCAACCACTTGCTTACTAGAAATCATCGGCAACAAAAACTCACATGCATTCTCAATTCTAAAAAGTCAATGTAAAAATAATGGCCACTTCCTAGGTGCCTACTATAGCTATGTCTGACAGCACCCTGTAACAGTACAAGCACACCTCTGCACGGATTCATGCAAGGCCACACACTAGGCCAGAGTCTCCCGGTGGAATCAGAACACTAAAAGTAGAGTAAGAACCTCATGACAGCGCTGGCCCAGTCACACCTCAGGAACCTCGTGACAGCGTTGACCCAATCACACCTCAGGTACCTAGGAGTTCATCATATTTGATCATGAAATTGCTCCCGGCCCCAAACTTTACACTTAAAGATTGTAGTTTTAAAAAAGCCACTTGTGCCATCCACAATTATTCTGACTACTCTCTTCTACATGCGAATGCGCAAAGCACCGAAGATCAGAACACACACACGTGAGCCCTTACGGCACCGACCCTGAGCCTGTATACAAGATCAGCTGGCACTAGTCTCAAACGATTCATGAGGAATCAAAGTGGAAATTTAAACATTCAATTCTGCATCTCATTCCTGTGCCCAGAGTCTTCAAAGAATGCTCGTGTTAGTTACCTGACAACTCTGGAGAAGTGACGTCGATATTCGTGAGCATAACCATGGCTCCCTTCCAGACAGACATATGGAATCTTATTCTTAAAAAAGTAAAGGTATTTCAGATATCAAATGTATAATATACTGCTGCCTAAAGTTAAAGGCAAAATTTACACACGATTTTCTCTTCCATTACCTTATTACATGTTTCCTAGTGAATTCAAATGGCTCATGTGTCAAAGCTCCCAGGCACGTCACTTGGTCATAGTTTTCATTATGCGTGGGGTTGATTATGGTACAAATGCCTATGAGCATCTTCTTTTTCTAGGATGGTCTCGTTTGACTTTCATTTCGTAAAAGGGTTCACTGTCCATGGTATAGATGATAAGCTACCAAACTTGTGCTTTTAAACCCATTCCTGGCAATCCCCCGTTATCTTAATTTTGTCTTTAGGGGGATAAAGA